TTTTTTTTTTTTTTTTTTTTTTTTTTTTTTTTAATGAACAATCTATGAAGCTCCGTCCACACTAAGCCGGAGGAATTTAAAAACGCAACAATCACCAGCTATTCAGAATTTGTGTTTGAGGAAATTTCGGGAAATCCAATAATAATCGTGACGTCATCGTTTTCGAAAAGCTCCGTTTTCAAAATATTTTCCGTCCACACGAAAACGTAAAGCCGGCGTTTTCAAAAAGTTCCGTTTTCGTGACGGATTAGTGTGAACGGTAGGCTAAACCGTAGAAATAAAGCGGCTTAGTGTGGACGCTGCCTTAGTAGATACTTGTATTCAAAAAATGTGCTAGACTTAACAAATAGATTACGAAACATGCACTACAACCTAAGACAAACGCCAGCTTAAGTCACTAAGCTTTGAAATTTGGGGGAGAACTGAAGTAAAACCAAAATGTACATAAGTTATTTTATTTTTAGTTCCAAAGCAGACCATACAATAAATACACAACCGGGTCTGGTGAACATGTCCAACCGTAATTTAAAAATCTAAAATTACCTAAATGGAAAAACAAATTACTTCACTATCGTAATCTACCATCAGGTTTAACCTTGCCTAATTCCGATTTGGGGTCTGGCGACCTTGAGCTCCATAATGTCGATTCACAAGGAGAAATGTCTTCACAGCCTGGAATTTTGCCACGAATTGTACAAGACGCCTCTACAGTCCAAAAATATTCAGCAACACCATCTACCCAGGCATCAAGCTCGGACCCAGCCTTCCTGGAATTTTCCGCGGCCTGCTTAGCAAGCGCCTCGGTGTTGTTAGCTTCGCGATCAAACTCAATAAGGAAATCATTTGTGTTGTAAATTCCCCCAGGGGGACCACTGTTAGCTGCGACAGCATCCTGCGCGCTAATGGGCTGGCCTTTTGAGAACGCTAGTGGTATGACCAGGAAGTTTGTCTGTCCTATCACCATATCTTCGCCTTTGTGAGAGAAGATCATTTTTATGGTCCATTTTCCAGGCCGCATGGGTTTCTTGAAAGTGGGCTTATGAAAAGACACCACCCAATTTTCGACCACGTGCATTTCATAAATTCCCGTCACCACATTGATTGGGTCCACCCACATGAGTTTGACATCAAATGGCTTGCCGTGAACCCAGCGATGGACCAACACAGGGTCATCCATGGGACCCATCAGGTGCGCCAAGTTACGGAAGACCCTTTCCTTTTGGTCCCAAATAGTTCCTACCTAAAAAAGAGAAACAACAGTTAGCATAAACGTATAAAGGTTTCAGTGGTATACCATGTAACCAGGAAACGCTATGATATCAAAAATTCACATATTGAGTGGCTTTCGACAAACTTTGCCTCTTTTGGTTTTGCCTTTACCGAATTGTATGAGTTTTCCTCAAGCACAACTCTAAAATGACCGGTGATTGTTGCGTTTTCAAACTACTCCGACGTAGTGTGGACGGAAAACATTTGATTCGTCTTCAGAGTGAAAACACCGTTTTCAAATTCTTCGGCGTAGTATGGCTGGCGGGGCATTAAGAATTTGAAATGCACGCTCTGCATGTAATTTTGTGGGAGGCGCGGTGGCCTCATGGTTAGTGCGCTCGT